TAAGTTTTATATTACATTTTCTTTAATTTGCTATTTCTGTGGAATCATTAATTTTCACTTGCATTATTGTTCTTCTAAAAAAGCGAAATGTGACTCACGTTTTGCTTGATTGGCTTTAATTTTTGAGATAGTCAACCAGTCAAAATAAAAAAAAATTCAAAAAATAATAAGACATTAATTTATTTATTTAATCAGTTTTGTCTGAGCTAACTGAAAGGCTGTATTCTATAAACAATGAAAAAGAGTGATTGTTGTTTTGAACTACTTAAAACATTTTCACTCGAACGGCGTGCGTGATTCAATTTAAAAATACTTTCCAGAATAAAACCACGTGTTACAGTTTTGACTTCATTTATTACTAAACAGCCAAGTCATATACAAAAACGTTAATCCAAAATCTAAATTAAAAGTAATAACAAATAGCCTATCTACTAGGGTCGGTAACCAAACATATAAACAGAATGGGCGGATTTTGTTCATACTTAACTTTATACTCGCGCACTGACACTTAACCTGGATTAAATATAACTGTAAATACAAATATTTTACAAACAAATATACTTTTCCAAACAGTGATAAATTATATAAAAAAAAATGTTTTTTTATAAGATTTTCTTTTATGTTCAAAGTTAGGACTTTATAATTATTGTGTCGTTCATAGAATTCTGTACTAAATAAGAGCACTGATTTTGGAAATAAATTTTAACCATTTTGGCAAGTTGCTGAACCTTGTAACATTGCATAATGAAATATAAAGACTAACTGAATATGTCTGCCACAGATAGACCACTTGTAGGTCTATTGATTTCGTCTTGAGCTATTCCTAAAGAGTGGAGCTATTGAAAACTTCCTTTTAGGTGATTTATTTCAACACTCAGAGCCAGCCGAGAGAACATTTTTTTCTTATATTCATGATCAACAGCCAAGATACATTTGAAAGTCGCTAATATATCCCTGTGACTATTTTTTTTAATTTGTTTTCCAGTGTTGATTGATTTTTCCCTGATTAGTGTGATTTTCTTGTTCCTTAACTCAATACCTTGCAAACTGTTGATAGCTTTGATGAAATTTTGTAGCAAAGCTTGTTCAAATTTTGAAAACTATAAAAATATTCAGCTATTTTTATGGTTATAAACTTTTCCAACACTTAGTCCAATTAGAGGTACTTAGATTACATGCAACATTTTCAGAAGCTTATTCCTTTTTTGTTTTCTACTTGGAACTTTTCAATTTATTTAAAACATTGGACATTGTTATAAGTTGTTATTAGGTATTCTTTGTTATTGTTTATATATTTTGACATAACCGCACATAACCAAAATATTGACCAAAGTCCTTAACCACTTTTTATCACCTTAATCCAAAAATTTTATTCGTACGGTTTTGTCAACTGGAATAAATTTTCATTATTATGTTTAATTTTTCATGTCTTTTATCATAAATTGTTATTTTTAAATAAATAAATATGTTTTTAACTATAATAGGTAGGTGATAGAGGCCATGTGCCTGAACGAAAAGAAGACGTAGATGGCGTATCTGCATAGCATTAAAAATTGACTACTTCATTAAATCGTCACTAGATGCCGCTCGAGATTGCATCCAACACTTTTTACTGTTGCATTATCCTACTATATTATCTTCATACAACGGTAATATATATGTTTTTTGTTATAATTGCTTAGATGTTAAAATAAAAAACTGTGGATAACTTAAATATACGGATACTGAAATTTATTTATAATTGATTTCTTATTTCATTATTTTATAACGCAACAATAAATATTTTCACAAGTATAGTTAAGTCCATCCGTGGACACACTGTATAATGCTGTAGAACAAATTTACATTATAACATCTACAGAAAGTTTCAGAGCAACTTTCGGGGTAAGTACCGTAAAAGTGCTAGTGTGATGTTTTCCGAACTTCACTTTATAACCTCTGTGAGATGTGCTATAAAATGTGCGGACATTTGGCGGTTGCTGGGATATTAGGGTTACATTAAAAGTACATCGCAAGCGAGCTTAAAGAGCCAAAAATTGCAGCTTATTAACGTAGATGGGATGTTTTTGTGCTAGCTGGGTCTGCATGGTCTAAAACATAAATTACATCAAATCAGATAGTACATTTTTTTATCCGTATACGAGGCGAGTCAAAAAAAAACAATTTTGCTCAAGAGTAAAATACCTTTTATCGTTTGACAAACCTTATAGGACTAATAAAAATTGATATATGATGGTTGTATATCAGGTTTTAAAAATTCTTACTATTTTAAATACGGTGGAATACGGTGTTTTTGTTTAGCATTCCACTTTCCTTAGGGGAGTATAAACATTCAATACAATATTTTTCCCATGAGGATGTAAACATTTTCGACTAGTGCTACTACCACCACCAGTTGAAGTACTAGCAGCAGGTTGAACCCATGGATGTCACATTTTTTACAACACAAAAATTGAACACTTTGCAATAGACTATGAAGACTAGAGAGAAAGAGGCGAATCGACTGTAGTTGGCATGTCTAATGACAGTATAGTCAATTTTCTATGTATGTCAATGTAAAAAGAAGTGATTTTTTAAAAAATTGGTGAAAAAAATCAAAATAATGTGAAAAAAAAAATACCTGAGTACAAGTAACATGAGTGACAAAAAAACATCAAAGCAAGATTAACGTCGTTTTAGACTGTAGAACAGGATAAAAATCAAATGTAAAACTAAAGAAAACACAAGAAGAAATCAATTTAATGTCTTTTTAAATCTTCTAATGTGAGTAAAATAATGTTTTCATGTGTAATATAATATTTAATGTAAACTAGTCACAATATGTATCTTACGAAGTGTAGTTTATTTTATTACAAGTTTCTATAATAGGTATAAAATTTTACAGTTATAGATGCTGACTTACAAACAACAATAATTATGTATTAAATTTAATTTACTAGAAAAGAAAATTTATTTTTTATAGAGTTTTAATGTTAGATAAAGAGTTGCTACTGTTATTTTTTTTTTGGACCCCAATTCTCTCATTGTAAATGTTTTTTTATAGGATACTAAACATTTCGAACAGTGGCAGCATATATATCGTTTCTTTTGCCGATAAAGTACTTTCTAGAAATGATGCTGTTCTATACTTTTTAGAAGATTATCAAATATTATGAGACTATTTTTATTGATGGTACTGTTAGCAAAATAAAAAGGGGAAAGCTGAAATTAAAGGATGAGGTAATATACCATGTTTATTTCCAAATCTCTCTTTATACTTGTATTACAACAATAAAAAATCTGTTCACTATGTTTTATTTTACCGTTAAAACTATATATTATTTCAATTCAAAAAAAAAATTGCCACAAAATTGTTCTCATCAAATTTCAGCATTTAAGAAACCTTTCCGAATTTGGTTATACGTACCTAATTTGTATTTTATATAGATAAAATTAAATAATTTATCAATTAAAACATGCAAGACTACTTATTTAGAAATAAATACAAACAGTATGTTCTGTGCTTTATTTAGCTATAAACAAGTTTATTTTTATTATTTTGACAAAATTATGTATAATTCCCATAGGAAGCCATGTATTTTGAACAGCGTATGCAGTACCAGCACCCATGCGGTTAATTATAGAAGCTCAATTAGCATGCGTTTTTTGGGACCGTATTTTGAGTATGCCGATTCGTCTCCTTATCTCTGGTCTTCATAGAACAGACATAACTGACGCACACAACGAAATATTCGGTAATGACATAATTTTGTTAAATCATTCCCTTTTGTTTCTAAAATCGGTAAAGCGGCCAATTCTCAAAACAGGAACCTAGATACTCTTAATTCCACATTATTTATTTAATTTTCCCTAATCTGTCTAGAATTATACGACTCAATATCTCAAGCAAAATAGCACTCCTGTCTTTCAAATCTCACAATTGAATTTCTATGCCTAAATACACCACTATCTCTAATCTCCTTAACAGCCTATTCGTATGAAAGTAGTGAAAGTCTGATGGTCATGCAAGTACCTACATTTTATATTATTAATAATTATTATTGGTTTCTATCTTTAAAGTTCTACTTGACATGTACAAAAACAATCTGGTAAAACCATTCCTTAACCTTTTAGAAAGTGTAAAGACGTTTATGTCTGTAAAATTCTACTCTAGAGAAATAAAAAAAAGTGAGGATCGTGCTCTTTTGTTTTCAATAGTGGCAGCTGGCAGCACCGCCAACGGTTGTGTTACTTAAACTTTGGCTGTTTATAGGGACATTATTGCTATTTCTTAAACGGTAACAAATAGAAAATTGGTTAAATTATACAAAAGTTGCACAGTTTTTTACTCATTAAAATGGTGCTAAGAAACCTTTGATACCTACAGGTAGATTTAAAATATCGAACCAAAAATGAAAAATACAATTTCTTTAAATTCATTCATTTTTTGTCCGATATTTTGAATCTACCTGTAGATATCAAATGTTTCTTGGCGCCATTTTAATGAGCACAAAACTGCGCAACTTTTGTCTAATTTACCTAACTTTCTGTTACCGTTTAAGTACCATGTATAGTACGGTCATAAAAATATGCATATATTCATTTTTGGAAATATATTTAATTCGATATGTATTAAAATACTAACTATTTCATATTTGAATCCGGACCTGGAAATAGTTTAAGGGACACACAATTTTATTACTTATCTACATTTCGAGGTTATAATGAGGGTCGTCGGCTAATACCACGATGAAAGACATACTGATCTTACAATATTTCTTGTTCTTATTTTACATATCGCAATAGCGCTATTATTTGAACGCTTAGTCAAAATGGCATTTATCGAAATAACGCCCGAAAGAAAAAGCGCCTACTCAAAACATCAGTGCTAGAACAAAACAGCGCCTAGAGACATCGCGGATGCTCCGCAATTTTTTTTTTACATATAATTATTAAAAAAACAACTAATTCACACAACCTGTGCGACCTGGAACCATATCAAAATTCGATTTTTGTTCAAGGAGACATACCCAAGTCCGACTCAGCTGAGATCTGTTTATAAATACACGGACCTTATTAATCCTGTGAGTCCTGTGATTGGCCAAATAGTACAGAGGAAGAAGTCAAAAGAAAAAGAAGAAACTTTTTTGACATCTGACACATTTGACAGTTACTCTTATTTAAATGAAGTAGGGTTAAGTTTTAAGATCTAAATAAAAATAAACAAGCATTATATCATAAGTAATTTTCAATTTCAATAAACATTTAGTAAAATTATTAAACCATGCCATTGACAGAATACATTTCTGCTCTTTCTGATAATCCATACTTTGGTGCTGGATTTGGACTTTTCGGTGTTGGTGCAGGAGCCGCATTGTTAAGAAAAGGTTTCCAATCTTCATTGATATTGTTCAGAAGGCATTATATGATTACTTTGGAAGTTCCGTGCCGGGATAAATCTTATCAGTGGCTACTTCAATGGATGACAGCAAAGGGTGCAAAGCAAACGCAGCATTTAAGTGTAGAAACAAGTTTCGAACAAAAAGATAGTGGGCTTATCAAGACTAAATACGATTTCATTCCCAATATAGGAACTCATTTTTTCCGGTAGGGGTTGAGTTTATTTGGTATTTAAAGGTATGAATATACAGTAATGATTTTCATACAGTTGATTTATTCACATAGTAGTTTCAACAATTTTCAACAGGGTACAATACCCTAAGCTACATAATTTATTTTTGAATGTGTTAAACAGAACTGAATTCACTATTATTATTTCTAACATGGGCTCCAGTGCCTCCAGTACACTTTGGGTACGTCTAGGCCTGTCATCAGCTAAATTGCTGACAATTGCCCACAAAACACTTATTAGCGTATTTTAGTGTTTAATTCAAATTTAATTTAACTTTAGTCAGTTATAAAGATTTTTCTTGCCCTAAATTTTTGTTTTTACAATTGAGGAAAACTGAATAAATCCACTATTACTTACACTATAAATGGTTTTTGGAAAACACGATTTGGAAATAGCATAAAAAGTACTGGTTTTTTCGATTGTTTTGTTAAAACAATACTATTGGAGACGTCATTAATAATACATCCTGTTCAATTATGAAAAATTATTTTTCTTAAAAATATGACAAAAAAAAATTGATTTTTCAGTTTTACTCAAATCAAAATTCAAGACTACATGCACTAATATAAGAGGAAAAACAAATCAAAATAAAGAAACAAACTGCTTTTAAACTACAGCTAATGCTGATGTGTTTACACCATTTTACTAGTAGATTTATTCAGTTTACAAAAACATCAATTTCGACCCTGAATTTTACAAAGACAATCTATTTTGCTCAGACAGGTAGTCTAAAAAACATGTAATTTAACAAAGTAAGTTGAAATATTAATATTCACATGTTATCTAGTTTCTAACTGAAACTCTAAAACTGAGAAAATGATAAAATATTAGGTTAGAAACATCAAAATCTTGCAATTTTTTGATCAATTTTTATCAGAAAATATGGTTATCTGCTTTTTTTAGAAATAATTTTATAGAATGGATATTTTTTAGTATTTAAATTGTTTTTTCAAAATTAGACATATGTAAAGCATACCTGACCCTTTATTCTTTGTCACTTGTTCTTTATAACTCTTAATAATAGTTTTTGAACATTTTAGATATGGCAGAACTTGGATAAAGGTGGAGCGTACTAGAGAACAACATACCTTAGATTTACATATGGGCACACCATGGGAAACAGTTCAGCTGACAGCTTTTGGAAAAGACAAACACATGTTTTTTTCAATATTAGAAGAAGGTAACATTTTTAAATAAGTACTGACATCTATCTTTTATTTTAATAACCTGTAAACAAAATTTTCAATTATACAAATATGGATTTACCATCAACTTCATCAGAAGGAGAGCGACTTTGAATTTTGGAAAGTAGAAAATATTTTTGAAAATATAATTAATAGATATTTGAATTTTTTATTGAGTTCAAAAGTAACTCAGTTCAAACAATATATTCTTTCCAAACGACAAGGATTTAGAATAAAACTGTTTGTTGCATGTTATTGTGAGACAGGAATGGTTTTGAATGTTTTGGTGTATAGGGGTTAAGCATATGACATTCCAGCAAATGACATTCCAGCAAATGACATTCCAGCCAATGATATTCCAGCCAATGATATTCCAGCAAATGAAATTCCAGCAAATGACTTTCCAGCAAATGACTTTCCAGCAAATGACTTTCCAGCAAATGACTTTCCAGCAAATGATCCAATATGGGGGGGGGGGGGGTAGGAGATAGTATAATAAAAAAATTTATGAGATCATATGAGGGAAATGGCAATTTATTATGTACTGACAAGTGGTATATGGATCTAAGATTATATGGATCCAAGATTATATGGATCCAAGATTATATGGATCCAAGATTATATGGATCCAAGATTAGCTTTATATCTCAATGAGTGAAACACAGGTTATTGTGGCATGATAAAGAAAAATACAAGGCATTTTCCTAAATTTACCGAACTCCGATGACAACAAGGGTAGATAGAAAAGATGCATTCTGTGGATACAGTTTTGGCACTAAAATAGGAAGACAAATTGGATGTACATAAAGAATCACTACAAATTAGTGAAAAATTCAACTATCGCACTCAACAAGTGATTCAAAAACATTTATTAGAACTTGCTAATTCTTTATAACATTTTCATACTCAATTTTAATTTTGTTAATGTCACTTACACATGTTATATAATCGTTCTCTAAAACCTTGATTTTTATTACCATTCTTTTACCTAAGTTGTTTAATTCTATATCTGTTTGTAATTTTTCTATAAAATAATTTTTTCCATGAGTAAATTTTCATATTCTTCAATTTGATTGTTTGATTTTTGCAGATTACGTTTCAGGATATTAATTTCCTCCACCTGATTGTTATTATTTCCTTTGTTTAGCTAGTTTGCTAATATCACAATATCCAAATTTATCTCGAAATTTAGTAAAAATATACATATAAGTCAAAACATAGATAATTTAGATACAATTAAAACTAACTAAAATTCTATAGGTTGTTACTATTTCTGGAGAAATATTCATCAATTCAGAAATCTGTCACTTTGATTTTAAATGTAGTTACAGACGTTACTGATTTAATTTTCTCTGGATGTGCGTTATATTGATTTAGACCTTTAAAAAATAGTGAATTTTGTGTTGCACTCTCAACAACTGTTTCAATATAAAAGTTATTTCTGTTCCGCGTTGGATAATTGTGCACATTAGAGTGATAATTAAGCTTCTCTTTTAGGTACATTGGAAGTAACCTGTGTTTGATTTTATAAATAAAAATTAACGCATTCAGTAATAAAAGTCTTTTGATTGGCATCCACCTTAAAGTTTCAAGCATTAGATTAATGGAAGTATATTTTGAACAGGATAATATTATTCTTATAGCCCTATTCTGCAGCTTCTGTAGTCGGTTCAACTCATTTTGACTTAGTAAAAAGAGTATTGTAGAGCAATACTTAAAGTGAGGTAGAATTATAGTATTATATATAATACATTTAGGTAGTCCACTGTGATAAGCCAAATGAACTTCTAAATAGGATATTTAACTTAAATGCAATAGTTTTGATAATGGTGTTGGCATGATCTATGAATCTCATCTGTTTGTCAATCATTACCCCTAAGTATTTGAATTTTTCTACTAACTGTATAGAATTTCCTCCAATTGTTATGTTATATTGTTTATCAACAAACTGTGTATAGTTATAGTTCCTACTTATCAGCATACATTTTGTTTTATTTGTGTTATCTGAATCCTTTCAAGAAAAATATATTAGGGCATCATCAGCAAACAGGTGAATGTCACATTGACCCTTGAAATCAACAATGTCATTGATATACACTAAAAACAATAGGGGACTCAATATACTTCCCTGTGGAACACCTCTGATATAGTTAATTTCCTCTAACAAAATGTTATTTACTTTTAACTTTTGTTTCCTCTTACTTAGATACACACCGCTCCAATGCTTGCTCTACTATACCCATACTTTCTATCAAACGGTTTTGATCAACAGTCTCGAATGCCCTTTGAAGATTTATAAAAACTGTCAATGTTAGATAGTTTTTATCAAATTTATATTTCCAATCATATAAAACACACTGGATAGCTGATTCACAGTTATGTTTGCTTCTGAAGCCCGATTGTATTCTAGTAATAAGTTTATTTTGTTCTAAAAAATTAACAATTTGTTCATAAACGATCCTCTCAATGATTTTTTCGATACTGCTTAACGTACTAATAGGCCTTAAATCTGTAGCTTTATTTGCGTTTTTTGTCTTTGGAACAGGCACTACCATAGCAATTTTTAGAGCATTAGGTATTTTTGAAATTTCTAATGACGAATATATCAAATTTAAAAGTGGTTCTGAGAGGTTGGGAGAACAATTTTTTAAAATATTAATGTTAATGTCATCTGTGCTACTTTTATTTTTCATTGCAAAAAGAATGTCTCCACCATACATAGTTGAAATTTTCCAAGAAAATGTCCATTGTGTCTGTCTAAAATTTGATAATCTGATATTGTATGACCAATCATACTAGCAATCAATTGGATACTGTCTGTGTAAAATTTATTAAGAGCATTTGGCATGTCAAAAATATTTTTTATGATAACATTATTTTCTAGTTCAAGTTCAATTAAGTTATTCGACTTATTATTTTTTGGAATCAGACATTCAAGATATTTTCACATTTCCTTTGAATTTCCCCTACTTTCGTGAATATTTTTCTCTATGTGTTTACATTTTTCTGTTCTAATTACGTTAACGGTCCTATTTATATGCATTTTGTATTCATTCCAATTATTTTCTATTTTTTCTTGTGAATAATTTTTATATGCAAGGTCTCTGTACCTTGTGGCAGCTTTTACATTTTCATTCTACCATTTTTTGTATTTAGGAAATATTTTTGTTTTTTTGGCGCTACAAAATCTAATACGTTTAAAATGTTTGTTACAAAATTATCATTGTTTGCATTAATGTCATAAATATGATAGTTCCATGCTAATTTTGAAAGTTTGTTATTAATTAAATCAAAATTTAAGTCCTTGCCTCTGCTTTCAATTTCAAAAACAGATGGCCCATCACTATTTAATAGCACATTTGTTAAAAGCATAAAATGATCTGAAATTCTTTCTGTTTTGATAACCTCAGCTGAAACGGAGTCATTATTTGTTATAATTAAATCTATTAGTGTACCTCCACTATTTCTATTTGGTCTTTTGCATTCTGTAACAATATTTTTTAATCCAGAACAATCAAAATATCACTTAATTTCGCACTGTGTTTTTAGTAAACAGGTCAATATTAAAATCTCCAGAAACAATAACTATTTGAAAATTATCACATAAATTTTCTTCAGCCCAAGTGCTAAAACATCTAAAAAATGTATACAGCTACTGCTAGGTGACCTATATAAAGATATAATTAAAGATTTTTGTTTCCTAATATTACCATGACAGAAATAATCCAACAAATTTTTGGAATACAAAATTTAAAATATTTTAAAACCTTCAGTTCACTTTGTACATAAATTAAAGCACCCCCTGTGTGTCTACTTTCACTGTCAACTCTATAATTTTTGTATCCGTCAATGTCTGTTTCTGAATCATAAATACCCTCAGTGAAGCAAGTTTCAGAAACACGTACTAAACTTGGTTTTTTGACAACACATAATTAGAGATTTCATCAATGTGGGCCACCAAGCTCTCAGCATTTAAATATAATATATTTATTGTACTTTTTAATTTGGAACTTGAGTTTGAGACTTTGTGGGAAAGTCCTTATTAACTGTGGGTGTGATAGATATGTTATCAAAAGGAGGAACCACTGATCTGTATGATCAGTGGGAGGAAAAGTTAAATTAGTTAAACCTGTCAAATCTATGGAACCCAAGTTACTATTATCAAAAGGAAGAAGTGTTAAATTATTTAAATCTGTCAAATCTATAGAGCCCAAGTTACCATTATTAATAGGAAGAACAGTAAAATTATTTAAACCTGTCAAATCTATAGAGCTCAAGTTAGTAGACATGTTACAGTTTGTATTTTTAGATTTCACAGTGTTAATAATGATTTGCCGGTTCTTCCTCACAACTTTGGCTAACTCTTGTTAGCCTTTTAATATAACTCTTTTTCTTCTAATTCTTTCTTTAAATTAATGACTTCTTCTATATATCGGTTTTCTTTATTGATGTTTTATTTAAAACTAAAATTTCTTCAGTGAATTTTGGGAAATTTCTTGTCTCCAGCACTAAAAAAATTTTCCCGCAGTTAAAGAGTTAATGTTTGTTACATTACATTTTTTTCTGTAATTAACGATAAAATTATTGTTATAGCTAGACAGCTGGCATTGGATCAACACGAAGGGAAAACAATAATGTACAATGCACTTGGTAGTGAGTGGAGGCCATTGGGACATCCAAGAAGAAAAAGACCAATTTCTTCAGTAATTCTTGATACAGGAAAAAGTGAAAAAATTCTAAAGGACTGTCAAGAATTTATTTCAAATCCCTCTTGGTATATTAATAGAGGAATTCCATATAGAAGAGGTAAATATTTTCATTTGTTAAAGACTATTATTCATTTATCATCTTTATCAGTTAATCTTACTAGAAACATATTTCAGGTTATCTTCTTTATGGGCCTCCAGGATGTGGTAAATCGTCTTACATAACAGCCCTAGCAGGTGAATTAGGTTTTTCAATATGCATTTTAAATCTATCGGAAAGAAGTCTTTCTGATGATAGGCTTAATCATTTGTTGAGTGTGGCGCCCCAGCAGAGTATAATATTATTGGAAGATATCGATGCAGCCTTTGTATCGAGAGAGGACACCACTCAGCAAAAGGCAGCCTACGAGGGTTTAAATAGAATTACTTTTAGTGGATTGTTGAATTGTTTAGACGGAGTAGCAAGTACAGAAGCAAGAATAGTGTTTATGACTACGAATTATATAAAAAGGTAGGTTGGATTTCTATTTTAAATCACTGTCAGTTAGGGTTACCAGATGAAAGCTTCTCCAGCCAGGACAAGTTTATAAAATAATCCGGACGTAATAAAATTTCTAAGAAAAGTGATGTTTTTCACATTATTTACGTAATGACATACGGTTCTACTAATTTCATTTTATCAATAAAACAAACCAAAAATAAAATTGTTATATCATAAACAACAAAAGATACAAGGTTAAACAAGTTAAAACAAAAAAATAGTAACAGAATATCCTTACAAGTTTTTTTACTATAGTGTATTTTATAATAGCTTTAAATTTTCTCTGTCCGAGCATTTTTTTCGAAAAACTATCTACTTCCTTTATAATGAATTTATTCCTTTCATTTGAACCATACTGTATATTAATATTTTTTGACCTCCTTTGATTAAAGTTTTAATATTTATGAAGTCTACATTTGGTTTTAGATCTTGTGCCAACTTTTATAAAGAATACAATTTCATGAGAAATTAATAATAAAAATAAATAGGTAGTTTTCCATATGGTGCAGACTTTTTGCGACACACTGTATATGTATATAATATATGACGCACATAATGAAACACTAACTAATTTGGTGGCTTGACGTTTTATTAAGTTGTTGAAAGTGTGACGGTATCTTTGTGACAGTTTCTAACGTAATTTTTTATTCGTTATTTAAAATGGGTCGCAGCAAAGCAACACCAAAAAAAATTAGAGATTTGATCATAAACAAGTATAAACATAAACCTAAGTTTCCTAATAAATATCTGAAATAAAATTATGAATAGGTCGAAAATATAGTGGTTAAGGCTCCTATATAGGAAAATAACCTTTATAAATCGACTGTTTTTAAAGAGTAGTTCAAATGTCTCATTTGTAAAATCAGTCAAACATGCTTGATACTTATTGGAAATTATCTTAGAATCATTTTTCGAGACATCTAAACGTTTTTTAGCTAGTTTTTAGAGAGTAATTCAAATATATCAATCACAAATTCAACCATACACCTCTAGTATTAACTAGAATTATATCAGAGTAATTTTTTGAGACGTACCAAGGGTTTCTATAAAATAGTACGTTTTTGAGAGTAGTTCAAATCTAACAATATTAAATTCATCTAGACATGTTCAATATCTAGGTACTAGAAATGCTCACAGTGTACTTCTCTTGAGATTTAAACGGTTTTTGGCCAGTTTTTAAAGAGTAATTCAAATGTTCCATTCGTATATTCAATCAAACACGCTTGATATTCATTATCAATAATTTTTCGAGACATTTAAACGTTTTTTTAAGCATATTTCAAATGTACAATTCATAAATTCAAACATACACTCTTGATATTCATTGGAAATGATGGCAGATTTATTTTTGGACACATCAAACAGCTTTCTAATAAGTTTTTAAAGAGAAATTGAAATGTACTATACATACATTCAATCATAAACACTTATTATTCACTAGAATTCTATAGAAGTAATTTTTTGAGACGTTTTAACGCTGTCTGGATTTTTTTGAAAGTAGTTCAAATGTTCCATTCGTAAATCCAATTAAACAGGCATGCTATCCACTAGGAATCCTTTTGGAATATTTTTTTTTGAGACATTTAAACGTTTTTTCGAATTTTTTAGAGAGTAGTTCAAATGTATCATTCATAAATTTAACTATACATCCCTATAATATCAACTAGGATTAAGTTTATAGAGAGAAATTCAAATGCACCATTCATAAATTCAATCATAAATGCTTCATATTCAGTAGAATTCTACTGGATTAATTTTTTGAGACATCTAAATGAATTCTAGTACGTTTTTGAGAATACATCAAATATATCATTCATAAATTCAAACACACACACTTAGGTAATATTTACTAGAAATGATATCAGATTAATTTTTTAATAGTTCTACTACATCTTTCTAATAAGTTTTTAAAAACTAGTTTAAACGTTCCATTCATAAATTCATCTGAACATGCTGTTGATACTCACTAGAAATAATAGAATAATTTTTCAAGACATCTAATTGTTTTCTAGTTAGTTTTTAGAGAATAGTCCAAATGTACCTTTCATAAATTCAGTCATATTCACTAGAATTCTAACGGATTAATTTTTTGAGACTTCTAAATGAATGTTAGTACGTTTTTGAGAATAGTTCGAATGTAACATAAAACACAACTAAAAATGTTCCATATTAACTGGAAATGCTCACCGTGTAATTTTCTTGACATTTAGGTTCTTTAGGCCAGTTTTTTAAGAGTAATTTACATGATCTGTTTGTATTTTACTGGAAGTATATCCGAGTAATTATTTTGAGTTGTTTTAACACTTTCTAGTATGTTTTTGAGAGAAATTCAAATACACCATTCATAAATTCAATAATACACGGTTTATATTTACTAGAATTCTATCGGAGTAATTTTTTGAGACATCTAAACACTTTCTAGTAAGTTTTTGAGGGTAGTTCAAATATACCATTAATAAATTCAACAATTTCTAATGAGTGTTAATCATTAGAAATTAGTTTAGAATAAGTTTTTGACACATCTGAACGTTTTCTAGTTTATTTTTACGAGTAGTTCAAATGTTCCATTCGCAAATTAAACCAACGCCCTTTATATTCACTAGAAATGATCTTAGAAAATTTTTCGAGTACGTTTTTAAGAGTAGTTTAAATGTAACATTAACAAATTCAACTAGCCATTTTTTAAAGAGTAGTTCAAATGTTCTATTCTTATATTTAATCAAACATGCTTGATATTCACTAGCAATGATTTTAGAACATTTTTCGAGGCATTTAAACGTTTTGTAGTTACTTTTTAGGGTAATTCAAATGTACCATTCGCAAATTAAACCAACACCCTTTATATTCACTAGAAATGATTTTAGAAAAATTTTCGAGTAGGTACGTTTTTAAGAGTAGTTTAAATGTAACATTAACAAATTCAACTAGCCATTTTTTAAAGAGTAGTTCAAATGTTCTATACTTAAATTTAATCAAACATGCTTGATATTCACTAGCAATGATCTTAGAACATTTTTCGAGGCATTTAAACGTTTTGTAGTTACTTTTTAGGGTAGTTCAAATGTACCATTCATAAATTCAATCATAGACGCTTTATATTCACTACAATTCTAACGGAGTACATTTTTGAGAGAAGTTCAAATGTAACATTAACAAATTCAACTAAACACGTTTAATATTAACTGGAAAGTCTCACAATGTAATTCTCCTGATATTTAAAAGCTTTCTGGGCAGTTTTTAAAGAGTAGTTCAAATGATCCATTTGTAAATTTAACCAAACACGCTTGATACTCGCTAGAAATTATTTTAGACTAATTTTATGAGACATCTAAACGTATTTAGTTAGTTTTTAGAGAATAGTTCAAATGTATCATTTATGAATTCAACCATACACGCTTATTATTCACTTCAAATAAACATATTATTAGAATTGTCACAGTAAATTTGCCAGAGGTAAAACCCTGCTGACAAAACCTCAACTGTGGCACCATGAGTCAAGTAAATTGTTTCATTAGAATCACGAGGGAATATAAGTTACTAAAATTATAAGATTTTGAAGAGATATCATTTAGAACTTTGATGTAAATAATCACTAGAAGTTTCTTAAAGGTCTAAATCCTTAAAAACTCAACAACAGCCAACATATAAATCGGAAACATGTAGTTTCAAGAATCAACTGCAGCCATACTAATATAGTACAAAGTGATTCTACAAGTCTTCAGTATCTATGACTAAGAAGTCTACAACTGAAGGACCATTAATATCCAACCTTTTTATAAAATCTCTGCTAGGTCTTTATTAATCAATTTCCATTGACGTTACAATCGATTTTGGTACATATGACCTACTTACAACTTGTAAGTAGGAATAAAAATTATGGATGCACCTAATATACCACTAGGTTGAATTTTATTATCTAGAGAAATAAAAACCACAAAAACTGTTGCTCCACTCATCCTTACTTTATGATAAATTTAGTTATTTTTAAATGCAGCGTTTCTTTAACTGGATTTGGTATTTGCATACCAAAAATATAACAATTATTTCAAATACTGGTGGATGAAACGAGGGTTTGATATTCTATTTTTTTAACAAGTCGTGAATTTTTATAGCATTTTTACTTTCCTATCTGTATACAGATATAAGGAAAGTATAGGAATCATGATTTTTTTCGACCTCGAGTTTTCGACGGATTTTTACGTTTTGAGGTCCCCTGAATCCGTTTTGACTATTTTCGCGATGATGTCTGTGTGTGTGTGTGTGTGTCTGTGTGTGTCTGTATAACGCATAACTCATGAACCGATACACAGAAAAACACCAAATTTTAAACTTAAGCTTTGTTTCAGCGTCCAATGAGCTGATTAGATTTTGGGCAGTGTCGGAACATCTGAGGGGGTACTTTATAGGTGGTCATTTTTATATTTTATAGAATATATCTGTTATTTACGTTTGGAGAAGAAAATTCTTCAAATAAAAGTTACTTCTAATATAATTATCTATAATTTTTGTTTTATGCAAAATTTTCCTAAAATGGTCCGTATTCGAGAAATTTGACAAAATGTAAAAAACATAATTTTTTATAAAAATTGTTCAAATAAAAGTTGTTTATAATATAATTCTCTATAATTTTAGTCCTATACATAATTTCTCTAAAATGGACCGTATTCGAGATATTTGAGAAAATGTGTAAATTTCGAAATTTGAAGAAAACTCAAAAACGGATAAAGGAAAAAACATTAAATTTTAAACTTAAGGTTTATTTCGGCCTGACGTGAAATGATTAGATTTTGGACAAAGTTGGAACATCTGGGGGGGTACTTTATGGGAGGCCGTTTTTATATTTTATGGAATATATCTGTTATTTATGTTTGGAGAAGAAAATTGTTCAAATAAAAGTTACTTCTAATATTATTATCTATAATTTTTGTTTTATGTCAAAATTTCCTGAAATGGTCCGTATTCGAGAAATTTGACAAAATGTGCAAAATTCTGATTTTTTAAGTTGTGAGAGAGGGAATGTGAGAGAATATAGGTGATTCCTTGAATGTTTTGATAAAAGTACAACCAAATGATACTTCCATAAGGTGATACTACTAGTAGTTCTTTATACAATAGTAAGATGGATAGCTTAAACCTCCCAAATTTTGATTAATTTTGGATTTTAATGGAAGACCATTATTGACTTTAGCCGCTTAGGGGATTTTACACTACAGTGTATAGTTAATTGAGTTTTACACAACGTTTATCGATGAATTTTACAGAATTTCTTTTTAAATATATGTTTTTTAATTATAATTATTTTGTTTGCAGGTTAGACCCCGCTCTCATTAGACCAGGGCGGGTTGATATGCAGGAGTACATTGGATGGTGTTCTCAATCGCAAATCGAACAAATGTACTTAAGATTTTATGATGAAGAAGATGCTGCTAGGCATGCCAAATTGTTTGCTGAAAAAGCTACGCAACTTAATCCAAATATTAGTCCAGCTCAAGTACAGGGTTATTTTATGCTTCATAAGCATTCTAGTTTTAAAGATGTGATAGATAATTGTGAAAGTTTATGTCAATCGAGAAAAATATAGATCTATTTTGTTAAGTTATTTATTAGTATGTAATACCAACACCTTTCTATGATGATAACGCGATATACACATTAGGGTATGTCATTTTTGAGTAACTTTTTTTTCAACTAAAAAACAGGCTAAAAACTATCAGGAAGGTGAAAAAAGAAGCCTATAAAAAATTGCCATTTTAATTTTGTATGTGGATTTTATTTGTTTGATGAGGGTTTTTGCTTTTCAGAGCTCTTTTTCGGCTTCTTTTCTTTCTTTTTTCTGAATTTTCCAAATCCCTTTCTGACCATCGTGCCTCTCCACCAAGCTTGAATTCTCGTAGCCGCTTTATTCCTTCTTTCTTTTTCTAATCGGATTTTTTCTTGTTCCGCTTTGTATATGTTCCAGTCGTGGATTTCTTGTTGACGTTTTTCGTACTAAAATATTAAATTATTTTCTATAAAAAAAATTCCTAACAAAACTAAAAAGTAATTAAATTTCAAACTCTTTAACAATCGGTACTGTTTTCAAAATAAATAATTAACCGGTTTATTTTAATTATTTTTTTTTGCTTTCCTGGTCTTCTTTTGGACATTTTCCTAGGAAGATGGGTAAATATATGTATCAAGATATCACGATACATGGTTGTTTCTTAATTATTGCTTGTTCTAAAACTAGTGTTTTCTCAAGTAAAATGTGCTGCACTATCGTCGCTTCAGAACAAGATTAGGAAATAAGTAAAAATTTAAAAAAATTAATAACATAGGTACCAGTGTTGTCAGTTTAGTACAATTGTACTAGAACTAGTACATTTTCTGAGAATCTGGTACACACGAAGCAAAATCTAGTACCTTTTTTTCAGCGTGTTACTATTTGACGCGTGTAAAATATATTGTTGGTGTCTTGCTCCTCTTGCTCATCACAATTCATTCGAAAATCCACTGAACTAACTGTAACGGTTTAGTTCAGTGCTGGTACATTTTACAGAATCTAGTACATTTTTATGCAATCTGGTATATTTTTTTTATACAAATCTGGTACGTAACAAAAATATATTCTGGCAACACTGATGGGTACTGTGTTGTTCTAAGGCGACGATATATTGTCTTCTTAGTACTTGATGGATTCCCTAATAAATTCTAGATCGTCATCTGTGTGGTACAGAAATGGATTACTCTTTAGTGGTCCTCTGTTATTAGTTGCCTTTTAAGACAAGTATAATGTTCATTATGTGATAGTGATATCAAAATTACCAAACATTTTTTGTCAGAAAAAGATGGTTTGAAGATAATTGACAAGGTATTTTATAAGATTTCTCAAAAAATAAATGGTGAGGCATTTCAACAACCATTAAAAATGCGTCCTGTGGGCATTGTTATGGAAACTCTGTGGGCCTGTTACTTTTGACAGGGCCAATGATTCATATAGTTATATAGATTATTAACAAATCTAAGCAAGCAGGTGGTGAAATCATTCCAATAATGGCAAAAGCCAAAGTAGATACTTATTATTTGAGTCCTTGATTATAAGCACAATGTCAAACTGCATCCCTGTTTGGGGTTTAAGATATAGTGACATACTTGAGCGTGTACAAACCAACTTAAAAAAAAAAAATTATCTATGCCAATCAATACACCGGATTATTTAATAAGAGTCAAATTTCTTTAAAATATTTTTAAAATGATCCTAACCGCAGGCTTCCAAAAATTTGTTTCTTCCAACAGGAAACGCATGTTAAAATGTCTGGAGAAATTTAACTGGGCCATGCAAGTAAAAAGTCAATTTGAATTTATTGATGCTTACGTTAACAATCTTTCATATATATCGATGGCCTAGGCACAACTCCTCGTATCAACATTTTGACACCTTTTCAGGAGAGGCAAAAAACTGTATTAATTTCTTTTTACAAGGCACCTGTAGGCAATTTAATATCTAGCTAAAAATTGAATTTTTTACACAACAATATTTAAAAAAAAAAATGTTTTTGAATAATTTTTCTGGCAATGCGGTTTGATACGTGGTATTGTCTATTTAACCACATGTTGATAAGTGATATTCAACCAAAAATACAATAAAAATTCAATGCTGTGAATCTGTATCAAAATGCAAAAAATATTTATTAGAACTTATAGGAACAAGAAAACATTGTCTAAGTAACGTCCAAATAAAACATAACCACTTTTAGTTTAAATTTTGTTCTTAAAATTTAGGATTTTTAATAAAAAATGATACTTTAAAAATTACATCAAACATTAAACCTTAATCTAATTAGGTACGTAAAATTTGGTAACTTTGGTACCTTTGGTATAAAACTATATTACACTAATTAGTCTTTTTTAAATTGAAAAGAGTCGTAAAATCCATGAAACTCTGGTGCAAGTGTAGATTTTATGTCCTGTAGGTGAGAAAATCTTTGGGCAGATATTTTTAGTTGATCTTGGAACAAACCTTCAACTACGTACTTAAAATCATCTATTTCCTTATATCTTTGTGGTAAAGCTCGAATTTGATCGGAAAAGTCAGTCTTATATCCTATGGTGCCTTCCGAAGAATAATGCAGTTCTCTCAGGTTATTCACAGTGGGGTCATTTGTACAACGTCCAGGTCTTATACTTCTGTATCTCATAAGATCTTTATTATCGTAATTTTTAAATATTTCATGCGTCAAAATTTCTGCATTTAATGTAGTCGGTTTTTGTCTTGCTTCACGAGTTTTAGTAACATAATCATAAGGCAATGTAATTTCCCGACTTTTTAGTTTTCTTTCAATTAAACTATGGACAGCATCACATTCCATCTGTGTATGTCCGGGTTCCAGATATTTTTGTGCTACAAATTTTTTGTTTTTAACGGCATATTGCAGCAGTGCATTCGAAAGTACTACATTTCGATTCTGGTAGCCGCAGCCATCGCTCCACAATATCACTGGCAAATCATCTTAGCAATATTTCTCTAAATGATTTATAATAATTGTGGCAAACACAGAGGAACATAGATCTCCCTCAACCTCACATTACCAATAGTTCCAACATTCATGGGTTTTTAAATTATATATGGTAAAATTGTGAACCTTTAATCTGGTTTTAAAATAAAACTTATTAGCGTTATTTACAGGACACATTTTCACTGCTTGCACATCCATAACAAAGACATTACATTTACCTTCCTTGGCTTTGTCTTTGTCTATATCTTTTGCCTGCCTTGCTTGATCTTTAAGGGCAATGTGTTTATTATACTCTGTTATTTCAATATTTCTTGCTCTTTAAGCCACACAGGTATTGCACTGATCCTTTTTTGGAGTATACAATGCTAAATTCTCAAATAATTCAGAAAAGTACCAATAACTTAGAGACTTATTTTTATCTGCTAGACACTTTTCTTGATATATTTTATACAACTTGGCCTTTGATTCAAAATCGTATTCTATATATTGTTTCGTAGAATCTTTTCTGCAGTAATGTGCAGGCATTTTAGGAAGTTCTGCAAAAAAATTTTTTAGATAATTTGATTGTTCCTCCAGTCCGACCTCCTTTTCTGATTTAGGCCGGGGAGCGTCTTTTAAGACTTTTCTAGTTCTTTTGGAAACATCGGTGGCGGGAATGATACCGTTTTCATTTTGTTTACACCAGTTGGAAACCATCGCTTCATTCACGCCCAGTGTTGAAAGAAACATTTTTTTGCAAACTTGTTTTTTTTCTGCAGAAAATTGTAAGAAATAGTCATATGTTATACTGCGTCTGGAATTTTCAACATACTTTCTTTCCGTAGATTTCATCTTTATAAGCCCAACTACATATATCTTTCTCTGGTCCCAGTTCATTTTTTTCCAAAAGCTGGAAAAAATTGGTTCCGTTCTTCTTCAGATATTGAGCGGCAAAATCTATTCTTATATTTTAAACACTTAGAAGAAGTACAAGTCGGTCCTATTGCTCTAGCTGCTCTTTGCTTATTATGAAAAATTTGGCCTTGTCTGTTTCTGGTATAGCCTATGTACTCTTCTCCAGCCATCCTTCTAATTCTTGTTTTTTCTCTAGTCCATTCGTCTTTATCTGGTTTTCTTCGACGCTTCTTTTCTTGATTATTTTCAAGCATTTCAATATCGCTTTCATTGTTGTCTGTCTCTTCTTCTAGTTCTGGTTCGTTGGGTAGACCATCTTTTTGCCGTTCATTAAATGCTTCTCCTTCAAATTCTGAGTCTGAACTGAAGTGTTCTTCATTAGGTACGAAGTCTGGATAATCCAGGGCATCTCCTTCATTTGGTCGATCGTCATTTTCAGGTATATCTTCAAATATTACTTTATTTTCGAAAAGCTCTGTTCTGGCATTTTCTTTTTCAACAGGCTCTTCAAAAATTATGTCTATGTTGTTTTCTACCACATAGGACTGAACATTCTCCATAACATGTAGCTCCTGATAAGTCGTTTTACTAATATCTTGCGGCAAAATATCATCAATATTGTCTTTATTTACGAAGAGAAAACTGCTCTGCAGTGCACGTTGAAGTATGTCATTACCTCTAATTGTATTATTTGTTTCTTCCGTAATGCAACTCGTGGTGGGTTTTAATAAATCTGATGAAGATATTTGGTTATTTAAATTTTCTAAAGCTGTATCATCTCTAAGAAGTTGTGTGTTTTCTTGTGCTAGCAGAACCAATCGCTTGCCCCTGGATGTCATAGTGGAAGACTAAAAATAAATGTTTTAATTAGCGAAATTTTAATTAGGTCAATAAAATGGTAAAAATATATTCCTTAGTTTACTTAGTTCATCGCGGTCTAAAATGGTAAATAATTGTGTTAAAATGTTATTTTTGTTAATATCTGAAAAATTGGAGCTCCAACAAAATTTTCTCCCATACAATATTTTTTTTAAAAGTACTGCGGAATTGTAAAAGTCATTGTAAAAGTAATTAAAATTTCGATTTGTGTTATTTTACTTGGTAGAACATAATAAAATTACAGAGATAGGGCGACAATACATAATAATTAAAGTATTAATTTTTTGAGAAATTGTCCTTTGAAATATCACGTAACATAAATTTGAGTG